GAGATTCTATCATTATTATGGAGAGTAATAGAACCTGGGGTGGGCAATTACAATGTCTGCTACTCTCTTGTGTCACCCTTCTTTTTGTCTGTCTCTCTCTCTTTTAAAATATATTTTATTGTTTTACAGAGAGGAAGGGAGATAAGAGGAGCTGGAAACAATGATGAGAGAGAAACATCGACCAGCTGCCTCCTGCACACCCCCTACTGGGGATGTACCCGAAACCAAGGTAACATGCCCTTGACCAGAATTGAACCTGGGACCTTTTAGTCTGCAGGCCGACACTCTATCCATTGAGCCAAACCGGTTTCGGCAGGATACTTATTCAAAAGGAACAAGTATGGAGAAACTGGATAACCACCTTGCTAGGTGATCAAATTACTATTACCAACAAGGGCAGATAGATGGACTCTGAGACTGTTTCTGCCTACAGATGTGATATACTAGGGATACAACTGTGGACATGTACCCGAATGTAATCATGAGGAAACATCAGGCAAATCCAAAATGAAGAATGTGAAACATTCTGTTAAATAAAAGTTGGCAAGTTGGCAGTGTCATAAAAGACAAAGAACAGCTGAAGACTTGTTTTAGATCAAAGGAGACTGCCAGCCGACGTGGCTCAGTATTTGAGTGTTGATCTATGATCCAGGAGGTCACAGTTTGATTCCGTCAGGGCACCTGCCTGGGTTTTGTGCATGATCACTATTGTGGAGGACATGCAGGAGGAAGTTGATCAATAATTCTCTTCCATCATTGATGTTTCTCTCTCTCTCTCTCTCCCTCTTTGAAATCAAAAAGTATTTTTTTAAAATAAAAATGAGCCTAAGTAAAATACATGATTCTAGAGGGGATGGTATACAGTAAAGGAAAAGGAATATAAGGACAATATTAGATCAATGGAGAAAAATGAAATATGGCTGATAAATGAAATTATCAAATCAAAGTTCTATTTTCTGAGCTTGATAACTAAACTATGATTGTATATTTCTTAGGAAATACACAATCAAGTGTTTATGGTAAAAGGCATGATATAAGCAACTTTCAAATGGCTCAGAAAAAATATATGAAGACAGCAAGCAAGCAACTAATAAAGCAAATGGATGAAATGCTAACAGCTAACAAACAAGTGGTGATTCTGGTCAAATGTACATAAGTGTTCGTTGTAAAGTTTTTGCAATGTTTCTGTAAGTTTGAAATCCACTCCCTGCCCCTCCTTCCCACCTCTAAAAAGCAAAGATAATAAATAGCATTCAGAATATTTTATTCCTGCACTTGTCTGTTAGAAGTCTAACCCTTAATTGGGAAGGAAAGAAGTCACTCCAATTAGTTAACATTTAACAACATTTTCATGAAAACCAATATACCAGGCCAGCCTTCAGGACACTTGTCAGAGAAACCTCAGGCAGGCCAGGCTTTTTTCTCTTCACCAAATGCATCTAGGAGCCTAAAGATACCATCTGACTGAGCCTGTGTGATGGGGACAATCACCACTGGTCTTTGTCCACAGAGGACCAAATTAGCCTGTGGCTAGATGGAAGGATCCCATTTCTCAGGCAGTTGGGAATCAAGGGGACCGGCATTCTGACAAACCATTGGACACATGGTAGTGGAAATAACTAGAACTTTAACTATATTCCCCACGGGTTTATATCTGCCCACAGAAAAGGAAGAAAGTATATAACCCCACATCTACGCCAACTTCTTCAATTCTTGATATCTAGTAATACTGCTTCTTACATGCTCTGGAAAAAGCTTCCTTTTAAAAAGACCTGGGTTGCCCTAGCTGGTTTGGTTCATTGAATAGAACATTGGACTGCAGACTGAAAGGTCCCAGGTCCAATCCTGGTCAAGGGCATGTACCTTAGTTGTGGGCAGGATCCCCTGTAAAAGGCCATGGAGGCAGCTGATTGGTGTTTCTCTATCCTTCTCCCTTCCTCTCTGTAAAAAATCAATTAAAAATAAATCAATAAATAAAAAGATGTGGGGTGTTTCTAAATACTGAGGCTATTTTTAAAAACTTAATAGGTATCTGTGAGCTTCTGTGTATACGAAAAAAAGACACTCTGTTCACCCTTGGCCTGACCGAGCCATCCAAGCCAGAACTTGCTGACTCACAGGTAAGCTTAGTTGCCAAGGTTTCCCCTAACAAACTCTTAAGTCTGCATAAAATGTTAATAATAAATCTGAGCTACAAATTTAGACATATAAACTATCAATTTCTGAGAATGAAGTTGTCTTTAAAAGATGTGACAATTAGCCCTGGCCAGTGTGGCTCAGTTAACTGGGTGTAGTCCTATGCACCAAAGGGTTGCCTGGTCCATTCCTAATAGGGACACATGCCCAGATTGCAGGCTCAATCCCTGGTGGGAGAGGGCATGCAGTCGATGTGTCGCTTTCACATTGATGCTTCTCCTTCACTTTTCCTATCTCTCTAAAAAAAAAAAAAATCTGTATATTCTTAGATTATTAGATCCTACAGCAAAGTTTGCCTAACCCACTAACAATAAATATTTCCTACGGAGCTTTCCCAAAATGCAAATTTCCTAAGCCCCACACAAAGTATACTGAACCAAAGTCTGGAATCTTTATTTTGAATAGGGAGGGTCTGCTATGATTCTGAAGATCAGCCAAATTGCAAACTGCTGGTTTATGACACAGTCTGCCATAACATAACTGTAACAATAACCTCAGATCACAAAGATGGTTTGTTTTTGTTATGAAATAATGATTCAAAGTCCAAAACATACAAGGTGACCAGACTCTCATTCCCCTGTCCTCCAGCCACCCATTTATTATACTTACTCTTTATGGGCAACTAATACTACTGGTTGTTTTATCTGTCCTCCCCAGAGATCCTGTATGCATAAAAGCATTATAAATATTTGCTTTAAAAAAAGAATAGCAGGAAACAATACTTTGCTATGTGAATAAACCAAGGTGAAGAGCATGTGTTATCTTGGAAATCTTTCCTCATTAATACATAAAGAGCTTCCTTATTGTTTTTAATTTTTTTTTATTTTTTCAAAGATTTTTTATTGACTTTTTTAGCAAGAGGAAGGGAGGGAAACATGAACATTGATGACTACCTCCCACTGGGCATCAAGCCCACAAACCAAGCATGAGCTCTACCAGAAATCAAACTGGTGTGCAGTTTGATTTGTGTGCAGGATTGCGCCCAACCAATTGAGCCACATTGACCAGGGCTTCCTTATTTTATTTTAACCTGCATGGTATATGCCACTTTGTGTCTGCATCATACTTGATAAATGAGTCCCTTTTCATTAGACATCTATGTTATTTCTATTAGTACTTTTGCTGCAACACATAATCATATATATGTCATCTTATACATGTGCAAATGTATTTGTTACAGCTAGGGCAATCCAGCGGCTCAATCAGCAGTCTGTCCCCTGCGCGAAACGTGTGCAACTTGGGGGCTCTGCCTTTCGCCGCTCCCGAGCTTCCGCCTTACAGCCTAGATTCCCTCTGTATGAGCCTGTGGCCCGAGGGTCTAGCCCAGAACTGGTGTTCAGTGCAGTCGGAACTGGGGCTCAGCACAGTCCGGAGCTTTTGTCTCCTTCCCACTAGGGCAATCTAGCAGCAGTCAACGGTCCTCTGTGCAATGTGCGCACCTCCGGGGGCTCTGCCTTTCGCCGCTCCCCTGAGCTTCCAACTTACAGCCCAGATTCCCTCTGTGTGTCTGTCCCCAGGGTCTCGCTCAGAACTGGGGTTCAGTGCTGTCGGAACTGGGGTTCAGCACAGTCCGGAGCTTTTGTCTCCTTCCCGCTAGGGAAAGCCAGCCAGGCACTCAGCCGCCCCTCCTCTCCGGCTCCGTCCTCTCCCCGCGCACAGCGTGTCTCCGTACCTTAGGCTTTTACAGCTCCTCTGATTTTCCTTCTGGTTATCTCTTTCCTTCTCGTTGTAGAATTTCCAGTCAGTCAACTTTCCTATAGTTCTGGGTAATGTCCACTTTATATTTTAGTTGTATTTTATTGATATTGTCGTGTGAGGCTGCCGTTAGGCAGTTACCAATGCCGCCATCTTGGTTTTCTCATCTCTCCTGCAAGTTTATTCATAGGATACATTTCTAGACATGGAAATGCTAAATCAAAAGCTATAGGTAATTCTGATATTGCCAAATTGCCCTCCCCAGAGGTTATGACAATTTTCACTCCCACTTGCAATGTGGAATAGTTTAGATTTTATACTGAGTTGAATATGAACATGCCTATGGCTAACATTCTAGATGGTTCTCTGAAAATACCATACCTTTATAGCCCAGTGATATAACAAATGACATTCTGAAAAAAACTTCTGTACCAGGGAAATATGAATAACTTTACTATTGCTATTAGAAATATTTTTGACTATTTGAGACCCAAGAAAAAGAAGAGCTGGGAGAAAAGAGAAGTTGAGGTTAAGGCAATCCTCCTATTCTTAGCTGACATGCATGCATTATAAAGTTTTTTCCCCGACCTCAGCATAAAATTTTTCACTTACTACACAAAGTTTAAATCATGTGAAAAATTAACCAATTGTGCTGTTTACTATTTTAATTAACAAAAAAGCTCTACAAGTGTTATAGCAAAAATCTTGCACAGGAAAAGTTTATTAAATAAAGGCAGGCTGTCCAAAGGGGCCCATTCTGTAGCTAAGGAAAATCGGTGTCATGCAGAGGGCATGTTGAAGAGAATAAGCTAGAGAAACAACTGAACTAGTTCATCTCCTTTAGAATACACAAACACAGAGGGAGAAAAAAAAGGAACATATTTTTAGCGAAAAGAGTTGATATTTTTATTTTCATATTTCACAATACAAACAAAAATCGCGCGTTTTTTGTCCCACTCCTCCCCTCAAACACTATTCTCTTTTAGATGGGAAGAGGGAGGGAGTCTTCCTTGTCTGCTGTTAGAAAACACCCAGAGTCACAGCACCTCGATCTCCTGTGAAGTAGAACAAGTAACAGAAGCCTGAAAGAAAGAGGCTCCCCTTCCTCCTTATCTGTCTGGTCGAGTCATTCCAGGCCGAGTGGGCACCATCATGGGCCGGGCTGGGGGTCTCATCATTGGGGGCCCAGGCATCATTGGCATGTGCCCTCCCATAGGCGGCCTCATTCCAGGAGCTGCAGGTCAAAACAAAGAAAAAGAGTCAGAAAATACTACTTTAGGAAACCTTTGACAAGACTTCAATTAAAGACAAAAAAAGTAGCCCTCCCTGCAAAACGCTGCAAAAAAGACACTTGTCAAAAGAATGCTACAAATTCATCACATCTTTAAAATACTTAGACATTCTCAAACAAAAAGACAAAAGGTCAACACAAGAACCATATGGGAATCATAATCTAATGATAGTAAGGGGGAAACCACCACTGGTTCCCTAAACTGACCTTTTTTCTCCCTTAGGAAAATTCACAACTAAGTCACATGTTATTTAGTCAACTCTTTAAAACAAAGCAAAACAAAACAAAAAAACAAAAAAGTCCCATTTTTTTTTTAAATATATATATATATATTTTGATATTTTACAGAGAGGAAGGGAGAGGGACAGAATGTTAGAAACATCAACGAGAGAGAGACATTGATCCGCTGCCTCCTGTACATCCTCTACTGGATATGTGTCTACAATCAAGGTACACGCCCTTGACCGGAATTGAACCTGGGACCCTTCAGTCTGCAGGCCAACGCTCTATCCACTGAGCCAAACCAGTTAGGGCTTAGTCAACTCTTTTAATCACTTATATCCACCATATAACCAGGAGCTTTTTCATGGAGGTACACAGGCACAGAAGACAATCTTACCACTAGCATTTGTTCAGAGTGGTAGGAAAGGTGAGCAGAGGCCCATGCTGAGAACCTGTTAGTAACTATACTTAGCTCAAGTCACAAGACAAATATTAGGCAATAATGTTATTTATAACAATTACCATATACACAAAAGTGTTTTTTTCTAATGCATTTTAGAACTATTCATGAATTTTTTCAAGTGTCAAATCAATACACCAGCCAAATAAATGAGCCAGGAGAGGCAGGGCAAGCAGAGAGGTAGAGGTTGCAGAAAAACACAGGCAGTTCCATGGAACTGATAATGTCCTACATCCTCAGCTGGGTATTCATTTTATTATGTCTCGTCATCTTCACGCTATATATTTCCTTTCTAAATATAAATTTTTACCTTAATTAGCTATTTTTAACTAAATCATTTTAATTAAAGACTTGCTATAAATGGTTAAAGAGAAAACTATATTCAAAGCTAAATATAGCCTAATCACAAAAAGTGAAACAAAAGTATTTCAGACACAAAACCCAACAGGTATATAGTTTTTTAAAAGATTAATTTCAACAGGAATAGAGAATACTACTAAATACTTTATTTCAAAAAATGCCCACCATAACATATCTAGCATTCAGCATTTCTTAGAGAAAACTGATCTAGACCGAAGATTAAAAATGAGGCATCTGAAAACTTGTTTTCTTTATCTCCACAGTGTATTTATTTTTAATTGGTTGCCAACATTGGTAATTAAGAAGTCTAATTACTAATAAATCTAGAATTCTTTTCCAACTTATTATAGAAATCTTCAAACACACAGAGAATAGAAAGAAAAGAGAATAATGAATTCCCATGTATCCATCATCCAGGGTCAATAATTACCCACCCATGGCCAATTTGTCTCATCACCACCCAGTCTTATCCATGCCCATTACCAACTACTCCATTATTTTAATGCCATCCCCATAACTTATTATTTTATCCCGGCTAAGAATAACAACAAAATACTCAGGAGAACTCGCAACACCAAGTTGCATTCTCGAATGTCAACAATTGGCTAAAGCTGAGTTCTAGAAGTCTTCTTTAGATGAGTTATGCATTCCCAGTTTACAACCAAACCCTCTCGATATTTGAACTTATGACTGATTTAAGAATGCCAAAAAAGCCATTTGAACTTATGACTGATTTAAGAATGCCAAAACACACTTAATGATTGTGTTTTGGGTTCAAAGAGAGCAAGGCAGGAACTCATTTATCTATACTTTCCCATTTCAGTGTTTCCCAAAGTGTGGTAGGCATACCCCCAGGGGTACGGGAAGAGTTTGGTGGGGGTACGCGTTGCACTGGAGTTTGGTGGGGATATGCACTGCACCGTGCTTAGCTGCGCCTAATTCTATGTTCTCATGAGTACAAGGGGTACTCAGCGTTACGAAAATTATAGAAGGGGTACAACCAGCAGTAAGTATACTTCTGGCTAGGAAGCTAATTTAATATTTTGTACCTTGTCTTACCAGTTGAACTGTAGGTTTCTTGCATCAGATGTATTTACTCTAGTTACATAATTTAACTATTCTGCAAATGAAATACGAGTGTAGGCAAAGAACTGTTTATATGAAATCTAAGTTGATATTTAGTAAGACTCAGGCAAAACATCCCCCCAAAAGTGCTCACATATTTGGTAGGTGAGATGATCATAAAAGACTGGCACTAGATTGGCTCACAAGGTCTCAATCATTTCATATAAAATGAAACTAGAGTTGCCCTAGCTGATTTGACTCAGTGGATAAAGGGTTAGCCTGCGGACTGAAGGGTTCCAGATTTGATTCCAGTCAAGGGCATATGCCCAGGTTGCGGGCTCATCCTCAGTCGGGGGAGTGCAAGAGGCAGCTGATCAAGGGTTCTTTCTCATCATTGATGTTTCTCTCTCTCCCTGCCACAACCCTTTCCTCTCGGAAATTCATAAATATATATTAAAAAAAAAAAAAAATCAAACTAAAGTTGGTAAAGGATACATTATGAGTATGGTTTATTGATTTATGCAAGAAATATAGTGTTTCAATCAGCACCTTGTTTTCAAAGCAAAGGCCCTGACTATGTTATCAGGAACATTTCCAAATTAATGCACATTTAAATTTATGTTAAAATAAAATGTTTAGGTGAACGTTTCCCCCCCTTGAATAAAAGACCGACCACCAGGCCTAAGTGCTTTCCATATACTAATTTGGTCTAACTGACCTCCAAGATTAAAAATCATCAACAGGAGGTAACTCTGCTCCAAATCAAAATCAAGAAAGCAGCAGCACAAGTTTGTAACTATCCCTTTTTTATGCCTCAGTGGGAAAAGCTCATCTACCTCTCTCTTTATTATAAACTAGGGGCCAGTGCACAAATTCGTGCACAGGTGGGGTCCCTCCTGGTCCAGTCCCAATTGGGGCTGATTGGGGCCACCTGACCAGGGAGGTTGGCTGTGGAAGTGCACTGACCAGTTGTCCGGTAATAACAGCTGCTTAGGCTTTTATATATATAAATAGATGGCCCAAAGTTAGAAGGATACAGGAAACAGGAGGGAGAAGAGAAAAAACAGTAACCTTATCCTGCTTTTATTTCATTTTATTTTTTTTTATGTTTTTATTGGTTTTAGAGAGAGGAAGGGAGATGAAGAGGATAGAAACATCAATGAGAATCATTGATTGGCTGCTTCCTGTATGCACCCCACCAGGAATCGAGTCCAAACCCTGGCATGTGCCCTATCCAAGAATTGAACTCATAAGCTGATACTCAACCACTGAGTCACACCAGCCAGGCATGCCATATCCAGCATCCATTTATACTGGTAAACCAAATATTAATTTTTCTTAAGCATTATAGATTCACTAAATTTAATTTGTTGCAATAATACAGTTAGACAGCCAATTAAAAATTATATTTAAATGGAGCACTAAAACACAATGGAGCATTCTAGAAGGATATTCAAACTTACCAGGTCCCACTGGCATCATCCCAGGAGGAGGAGGACCCATCATTGGCATCATAGGAGGGCCCCCCATATGGGGTGCTGGCATCATACCGGGGCGAGGTGGACCAGCTGAAATAAAAAATAGGGACTGAGGTTAAGATGTTTATACATGCATAAAGTTTATCTCCTTTTAGCACTTAGAAAAACATTTAAAAATATATTTTTATTGATTGCAGAGAGGGAGAGGGAGAGAGAGAAATATCAATGATGAGAGAGAATCATTGATCTGTTGCCTCATGCACGTCTCCCACTGGGGATTAAACCAGCAACCCACGTAAGTATGTGTCCTGACTGAGAATCAAACTCTGACCTCCTGGTTCATAGGTCAATGCTCAACTACTGAGCCAAGACAGCTGGGAGAAACAGTTTAGTATCTTTTATTTTTATTTTTTTGTATTTTATTGATTTTTTTTTTAAAGAGAGGAAGGGAGAGGGATAGAGAGTGAGAAACATTGATGAGAGAGAAACATTGATCAGCTGCCTCCTGCACACTCCCCACTGGTTATGTGCCTGCAACCAAGGTACATGCCCTTGACCAGGATGGAACCTGGGACCCTTAAGACTTGAGTCTGCAGGCCGATGCTTTATCCACTGAGCCAAACCTGTTAAAGCAGTTTATCTTCTTCTTCTTTTTTTTTTTTTTTTAAATAGATTTTATTGATTTTCCACAGAGAGGAAGGGAGAGGGATAGAAAGCTAGAAACGTCAATGAGAGAAACATCAACCAGCTGCCTCATGCACCCCCCCCCCCCACCAGGGATGTGCCTGCAACCAATGTATATGCCCTTAACTGGAATTGAACCTGGGACCCTTCAGTCCACAGACTGACACTCTATCCATTGAGCCAAACCAGTTTCGGCCAGTTTATCTTCTTAATGAAACTAACAGTTCATCATAATCTGGTCCAAATTCTATAACAATAAATTTCTTATGGTCTTTTAACAGATCCACAATAATTAGCATGTCACAAAACTTTAGTTACTTGCTGAAACCGGTTTGGCTCAGTGGTAGAGCATCAGTCTGCGGACTGAAAGGTCCCGGGTTCGATTCCGGTCAAGGGCATGTACCTAGGTTGCGGGCACATCCCCAGTAGGGCATGTGCAAGAGGCAGCTGGTCGATGTTTCTCTCTCATCGATGTTTCTAGCTCTCTATCTCTCTCCCTTCCTCTCTGTGAAAAATCAATAAAATATATATTAAAAACAAACAAACAAACAAACAAAAAAAACTTTAGTTACTTTATGACTGAAAAGCAGGAACAAGCCTATCTAGACAGAAGTATAAAAGGAAGTAAGATTCCTCAAGTTAAAAAAATAACAAAATCTTTATTCTTTATTTTTATTTTTTTATTTTTTAAAAAATATATATTTTATTGATTTTGTACAGAGAGGAAGGGAGAGAGATAGAGAGTAGAAACATCGATGAGAATCATCAATCAGCTGCCTCCTGCACACCCCCTACTGGGGATATGCCCGCAACCAAGGTACATGCCCTTGACCGGAATCGAACCCAGGACCCTTCAGTCCCCAAGCTGACGTTCTATCCAATGAGCCAAACCGGTTTCAGCAAAATATTTTTTAAGCCGAAACCGGTTTGGCTCAGTGGTAGAGCATCGGTCTGCGGACTGAAAGGTCCTGGGTTCGATTCCGGTCAAGGGCATGTACCTAGGTTGCGGGCACATCCCCAGTAGGGCATGTGCAAGAGGCAGCTGGTCGATGTTTCTCTCTCATCGATGTTTCTAGCTCTCTATCTCTCTCCCTTCCTCTCTGTGAAAAATCAATAAAATATATTTTAAAAAAATATATTTTTTAAAAGGGGATGTTATACCTTCTAAAGCACTCCGGGAAAAAAAGCTGATGTACTTAATTAAGCCAGAAGTACCTGGTTTCAGAATTTTTTCCTCTGTCACTTTGTTGCTACTTCTTTCTTTTTTAATCTCTATTGTTGAAAGTATTACATATGTCCCCCTTTTTCCCCATCCACTTCCTTCAGCCCGCCCCACCTTCACCGCCCTATTGTCTGTGACCATGGGTTATGCATAAATGCATACAAGTTCTTTGGTTGATCACCTCCCACCCACCTTCCCCTGCCTTCCCTCCAAGATTTGGCAATTTGTTCCATGCTTCCATGTCTCTGGATCCACTCTGTTCATCCATTTATTTTGTTCATTATATTTCACATGCGTGAGATCATGTGATACTTATCTTTCTCTTACTGGCTTTTTTCACTTAGCATAATACTCTCCAGGACTCTCCTGCTGTCTCAAAGGGTAAGAGATTCTTTTTTACTGCTGCACAGTATCCCATGGTACAGCCTTTTATCCACTCGTCTACTGATAAAAAGCTGATGAACCTAAACCATAAGTACCTAATTTCAGATTTTTAAAAAATCATAGCCCAGGTTTGAAAGATTATTTGAAAATATAAAGCTGTCTATGCAGAGATATTTCTGGTGTATCATTTACAATAGCAACAGTTGAAAACAATTTATTTGTCCATCAATAAGAAAAAGTGAGGTTAATTCTGACACATTCATTCCATAGACTATTGAACTAGTAAAATAATGGAGTTGAGACCCAGTCTGTCACGATAGAGAGGGAGGTAACTTAAGAGTTGCTGGGAGCTGTGGCTGGCCAGTCCCAGGATGATGGGAGCCCACAATGTTTTGGTGGACTATTAGTGGTCCACCTGTGCACAACTATTATAAATAGCCTTACTTCTGTGTTTATATCCATGATCATTTATAGCAGTGGTCACTAATCTGTTGGACCTTACAGACCACAAATGGTCTGCGGACCACCAGTTGGCAATAGCTGACTTTTAGGACCGAGTTTAGGTCTCTGAGATCATTTCAATTTGAAACCTTCCATTAGAGCCAAAGAACACAGCTACTCAATTTCCTCCTGTCTATCATGCAGAAAAATCAACACAAGTCTTATCTTTTGCAAGGTATGTAACTATATATACAAAAGCATAATATGCAAATTGTTCCCATGGGAGTTTGACCAGGAGAAGACTGGGAGTTCAACCACTTGCTATGATGTGCGATGACCACTAGTGGGCAGCGTGAAATGAAGGCAGGCCCCAGCCAGTAGCCGGAAGGCCCCGATTGGCCCTGATAGCCAGTCAGTCTTAGGGACCCTTCCCGTGCATGAATTTCATGCACTTGGCCTCTAGCATGGGCATTAAGTGGGTTAGAAAACAAAACGACTGAGTTTATCTGCTACTTCTATCCTACAGTGTTATGTTCATAGCAATAATTTAACCCTTTGCACTCCGAACCATTCTGGACATTGGCTACCAGCTACTCGACACTACTTTGCAGCGGAAACGTGCGTTGAATTAACTCAATTCCCCGTAATCACTAATAAACTGCAATGTCCCCTGAGACGGGACATCCGAGTGATATGCTAGAATTCCGATGTCCCCTGAGAGGGGACAACGGAGTGCAAAGGGTTAATATACTCAGCAATACCTCCTCATATATTAGCTCATCCAATTGCACATACATCCTGAGCTTTCCATTGAATCTGTCTCAGACCCACATGGGATGCCACAAATATCCCAATAATAATGCAATCAGAAAGGAACTAAAAATATTTCAGAAATTATACCACTAAAGCTGTTTTCTGTTACTATGTATTCATTCAATGAGGATTTGACAAGATCAAAGTACAATCTGCTCAGTTACACCCCTTAAGATAAAAATGTTATAAACTTACGAAGACTGGGGGGAGGTGGGATCATCGCCCCTGCAGGAGGCGGAGCTGAGAATGGAGTAGGCGGTATTTTTCCTTGCTGAAATGCTGCAGCTATAAAGTGAGGAAAAAAAGCCACACTCAATGAATTAGAATTCAACAACTCATTTATTAAAATAACTAGTTTCTTTTAATTTTTAATGGTCTTACTTATTTCATTATAAATAGCAATCATCTAAGATTACTACATCATGGCCTTTATGATTTTATTTATCTATATTTTTAAATGTATTTTCATTGATTTCAGAGAGGAAGGAAGAGGGAGAGAAAGAAACATGAATGATGAGAGAGACTCATTGATCAGCTACCTCCTGCCCACCATGCGGGCTTATATCCTGATCAGAATTAAATTGTGACCTCTTGGTTCATAGGTCAATGCTCAACCACTGAGCCATGGGGTTGGGTAGCCTCTATGTTTTGTTTTTTCTTCACTTTTAGTTTTTTTAATGGCATTTTGTAATATAAGTTCTATGCTGTTTGCTATGTATTCAAACATATTTACTACGATTCTGATGAAACTGGTAGGTAGGAGAGAACAGGCCTGGCATTTTGTGGGTGGTGACTGGGGGTTTACCAAGGGCCTCATCTCTGCTCAAGGGCTGTACTTCCTGTCCCATTCAAGATGTCACACACTCCTGGGCTCCTGAGTGTGTGTGCAGAGTAGGTTAGTCTCTGCTAAGGCTGCACCAGATTCAGTGAATAAGAATATAGGATGCCAGGCTTGACTGTGATTGGTGAACACACAATACAATATACTGATGATGTATTATAGAATTGTATACTTGAAACCTATATAATTTCATTAACTAATGTTACCCCATAAATTCAGTAAAAATAAAAAAATCAAGAAAAAAATAAATACAAGTTAAAGAAAAAATGCATGACAATAACTTAAACTTCTAACTCATATCAACAGCAAATAATTTTTAGCATAAGTGTTCAGTTAAGCCCTTATTTGACTAATGGAGCTACAAGCAGGAGATTTGAGAAGGAGGGATCTTAGAATGTATTTCTCTGCTCCCTCCCTGCTAATCCTTCAGGATTGCACAAAAGCCTCAACGGAAGGCCACAGCTCTGTCCACACGACTTTCTGCACCAAGTGCACTCTCAGGGCTGCTGCAATGGTGAACGCCTCAGTGTGAATGCCAGAGTGGAGGATAGATTTCACTGGAAGCAACCAGGGAACATTCACTGCTGGTCCTCACATGGAGGTTTCAATGGCTGCAGAGTGCAGGGCCTTCTGCATGCTTGGTGGAAGGCTATGGGGTCAGCCTTGAGCAGTCACCCAGACAGATGAATGTGCTGGGGCTGCAGTGTTCATTATTCCAGGGAGAGGAAAAGAGGGTGCAAGCCTGGCGCATGGGCGTGGGCCTGTGCTCTCAGCATAAGAAGGTAAAGCCCAGTACCTGCGTCCTATCCAGCTCACATCTTTCTCTGATTTGAGGGGCTTTTTGCAATAATGAATGCTCCCAGCCTCTATGGTCTTAAAATCAACTTTAGGTTTTCACCAGCTAAAATTGCAATTGATTGTTTTATTGATTTGGGTTTTTTAATTTGTTTTTATTAAGTCAGTATTTCTATGGTTGAATTAACTACGGAGATTAAAATGAAAAGCTCTTGCTATCAATGCTTACGAAAGAGAAGTGGTAATCTTTAATCTGTAGATTTGGTTTATAACCAATTCAAGCCATTCAGTTTTATTTGAAAATGATACCTGTCCAAAAACCAGGCATTATAAACTTCTATCCTTCCTATAGCTGCTGTCCTAAGTCAAAACAGTGTATCATTTGGTTTATCAGTTTATAAATGAACGCACTAAGCTGAGAGACATGAAAGAAACACAGATTTCAAAGCAAGAACCTGAGGGGAGGGAGATTATGATCTTAAAATAATGTCCAATACAGACAATATGAGGCACAAATTAAAACAAAAGAGACTGAAGATTATACATATTTTGTTTTAAAAAGGAGTCATAAGTAAATACTAAAACACACACTCATAAAAGTCTATTCCTGAATCTAAGTCCTTCCCAACTGAGTGTAGTCTGCAGCCCAGGTACCTTCCCTACATCCTACTATACCCCACCAGTGTTGAGGGTCAAATTATTCAAGTAAATCACTGATAATTCCAAAATACTTGAGCTCGCGTAGCTATTTCTGAACAGCTATCCATTTGGCTTTCAATTGAGTCTGTGCGCTATAAGGCATCATATCCCAATAAGGCAGCACCCACACCCTGAAGGAAAGAACAGCTTTTAAAGACTGCAAAGGGAGCGTCTAAGCCATTGGCTCAGTAGCTGACTCACTGTCAACATAATCGTGGACATGATGTGGTGTGCTCCTGAGGGCTTGCCTCCTCTCCTCCAAAAGTCCTCCATCAAAAACGTTTACTCATCCTAAATTCTTTTCTAAACAAGTTATCTGTGTAGTCAGATTATGATCTCTGAACACATAATAATCTGGACACTCAGTGTACTTATGTAGAAGGGAAAGCTTGCAAATCTTGATGTCAAAAGACCAGGAGATAGTGGCCCCAGCTCTGGCTATAAAGTCCTCTGCTTTTTTCTAACTACCCACAATGTAGTTCTTCTACATGGAAAAACCTTATTTTAAAATCCCAATTCTGTGGTCAGTCTATACTGAGTGGCCAGATTATTAGGGTTCAGAGATCATAATAATCTGGCCACTCAATGTATAATGCTAACCTTTAATGCCAAGAAATATCTAATATTTTTTCAAATAAAGGAAAAGATTACATTAGAATTAATTTTTTCAAATAAAATGGGACAATATCTGAGATTTGCATGTTAATAATCCAGGAGGGATAAAGGGACTCGGTGAAGGTATTTGGTGGCTCTCAACTAGGGCAAGTTTGCCTTCTTGGGGACAAGAGGCAACACTTGGAGATATTTTCAGTTGTCACAACTGGGAATTGTTACTAGTGGGTAGATGTTAGTTACTGCTGAACATCCCACAATGCACAGGACAGCTCCCACAACAAAGAATTATGCAGCCCAATGTCAGCAGTGCTAAGTTTGAGACTCTTGGTATAAACGAAACATGACTACTGTAGCAGGTGCTGGGGACTGAGAACGGTTGGGGAGCAGCGGTCATGGGAGATTCACTTATTAAATCTGTTTGAAACTTTTCATAATAGTTTATGCTTTTAAAAAAAAATCACATCACAATCAAAGTCCACATTTGCCTGCTAGATCTGAGTACAATGAATAATTAAGAAAGGCCATGTTTCAAATAGACCAGTATGATTTATTTTATAATAAAATGAATAAAAACTATGGATCACTACAAAGGAAGTTCACATCAGTAAAGAAATATTAGGCAACTCATTCTTCTCTGTCCCACCTCCCAGTCTAATACCTGATTGCTCTAAACTCAACAATTAATATTAATGTGTTCCTATATCCCTGGGAAACCAATGACCTTCCACTTCTTTCATTTAACACATCAGAACGCTTCTATTTATCATTCAGAATGAGTTGCTTCTGTGAAAAACAACAGAGACAGGGACAAGAAAGAATGGGACCATTCTAGCACCAGAACAAGAGACTGAAACGTACTTGTTTTGTCAATCAGGCTCTGAGCCTGTTCTTCCATCCATTTCTGATAGTAGTCTTTCACATTCTCTTTGTGCTTCCTACCACTGCAGTGTGTCTTTCTCACAGATGGCTATAAAACAAAAAGATTATGTCAGTCACAGAAACAAATTCCCAAAACTAGCAATTTTATCAAGGCCTTACCTTTATATAGAGGTGGCCTGGCTACCTTTAGCAGCTTTAGCTAATGCACCATCTATAAACATTAGCCAATAATGTACTGTGGTCATTTATCTACCATGTTTTTAGCCAAACAAGGGGTCAGCAAACTTTGGCCTATGGGCGGAATCGGATTCTGTGAAAGAAGTATTGGAACACAGCCACATTAATTTATATATTGTCCATTTCTTCTCTCTACAAGAGTCAAGTAATTGTAATGAAGACTGTATGCAATGACCATAAACCTAAAATAATTATAATTTCGCATTTTAAGAAGTTTACCAACCCGATTTATTTTACTGTACTTCCTTAGATTATTCTATGGCAAAAATTTTTTTAAAAAATAACTTACATTTTAAGTAACACTATTTATAAGAATATACTCTTTTAAATGATTATGGGTCTAGAATGACTTTATCTATTAAAACACACACAAAAAAAACAACACACAAAACACCAGAAAAAAGAAAAAGACTTTATCACATTAGCACGTTAAACATACTAATCAGAAAGAACAAACTACTGATACACGCTATATTGATGAATCTCAAAAACATGTTAAGCAAAAGAGATCTGACACAAGCACTCTAAGATTCCATTCATATGAAGTTTTAAAAATATTTTTATTGATTTCGGAGAACAGGGAAACAGATAGATAGAAATATCAATGATGAGCTCAGCCAGAATGGCTCAGTAGTTGAGCAGCAACCTATGAACCAGGAGGTCACAATTCATTCCGTCAGGGCACACGCCTGGGCTGTGGGCTCGATCCCCAGTAAGGGGCATGCAGAAGGCAGCTGATCAATAATTCTCAACATTGATGTTTATTTTTTGAAAATATATATTTCTATTGATTTCAGTTAAGAAGGGAGACAGAAACATTAATAAGGTAGAGGAACAGAAACATCAATGATGAGAGAATCATTGATCGGCTCCCTCTTGCAAGTCCCACACTAGGGATGGAGCCCGCAACCCAGGCATATGCCCTGACCGGGAATCAAACCCTAATCTCCTGGTTCATAGGTCCATGCTCAACCACTGAACCACTGAAGTTTTAAAATTAGTAACACTGACCTTTAGTAAAAACCATATTAGTCAGAGTTAGAGGTGTAGGGGACTTACTGCAAAGAAACACAAGGGAACTTTCTGAGGTGGCAAACCCAGGCCTAGAATCCAGATTTCACTGAAATGCTCCCCATGGCTGCCCAACCACTTCCTACTAGTCTGTTGCTCTGATGATGAAAATGTTCTTTGTCTTGACATATCCATCAAGCTGTAATCATTTTACAGGTCATCAAACTGTACACTTAATAAAGTTTGCATTTAATTGAACATAAATTATAATGAAATTTATTTTTAGAATACCACAAGATTATTTATTACCATCTATTTCTGCTGAAGAACTTGTCTCAAAACCTACAGCCAGCTGAAACCGGTTTAGCTCAGTGGATAGAGCATCGGCTTGTGGACTAAAAGGTCCCAGGTTCGATTCCGGTCAAGGACATGTACCTTGATTATGGGTACATCCCCAGTGGGGTGTGTGCAGGAGGCAACTGATTGATGTTTCTCTCTCATCGATGTGTCTAACTATCCCTCTCCCTTCCTCTCTGTAAAAAAAAAAAAATATATATATATATATATATTTTAAATAAATAAACAAACAAACAAACAAAAAACCTACAGCTGGTAAGTGGCAAACCCAGGCCTAGAATCCAGATTTCACTGAAATGCTCCCCATGGCTGCCCAACCACTTCCTACTAGTCTGTTGCTCTGATGATTGCTTGGCTGGCAGATGACTACTAATAAATATCACATGAGTGGTCCACATTTCAAAATGCTATTCACTGTCTCCAAAACCACTGCTTACACTATTCTTACAACAATCATGCCTCGGAACCAGTAAAAGTTCCCAAATTAAGCACTGAATATTTTATATGTTTCCAAGTCCACCACAGGGAACTCCTTCAAATCGCCATGGAAATGTCCTAATGTTTTCCAAGCTATCATGTTCAAGCGGTATTATAAGGGTTCCTGATGCTCCTCATGTAGCATTTATACCAATAAAAGGCTAATATGCTATTTAGACTGGGTTGACCTGATATCTTCCAAATGTCTGGATTTCCCCAAATTCCCCCAGCCCCTACACATCCCTCTGTAAAGGCACAGAACAAGTGAGACCCCTTAAATAAAAATCAAAGGTTTCCAGCAATGGTGGGCCTCTCTCATCACAGTCATTTGGACTGGATGGCACTTGAGTATTTATCTAGGTACCATGACAGAGAAACACAAGCTCAAGTCATGATCTCTGCCCTTAAATAATTCACAATCTTATTAGAGTGAGTGGATGATAAAAGCGCAGTAATGACATCAGAATGTAAGGCAACAATACAGAAAGGAACAGAAGCAATTGCTAGGATGATTTTTCCAACAATTAGTACAGAGTATGTGCTGTGAATTAAATTAAAAAAAAAAAAAAGTGTGTGAAAGTAGCTGCTTCATGAGTATGGCATCCCTTCCTATTTTATTTTAATTTTATTTTTTTAAAATATATTTTTATTGATTTTGTACAGAGAGGAAGGGAGAGAGATAGAGAGTTAGAAACATCGATGAGAGAGTCATCGATCAGCTGCCTCTTGCACACCCCCTACTGGGGATATGCCCACAACCAAGATACATGCCCTTGACCGGAATTGAACCCGGGACCCTTCAGTCCCCAAGCCGACGCTCTATCCATTGAACCAAACTGGTCTCGGCCATCCCTTCCTATTTTAAAGGAAGCTGAGTTCCATTTGAACTGTGTGTTATGTTATGATATGTGAGGCATAGAACAAGGAAGGCCCTAAGTATACTCTGCTTTGATATCTGAGACATTTTAAAAAATATATATTTTATTGATTTTGTACAGAGAGGAAGGGAGAGAGATAGAGAGTTAGAAACATCGATGAGAGAGAGTCATCGATCAGCTGCCTCTTACACACCCCCTACTGGGGATGTGCCCGCAACCAAGGTACACGCCCTTGACCAGAATCGAACCTGGGACCCTTCAGTCCCCAAGCCAACGCTCTATCCCTTGAGCCAAACCGGTTTCGGCTGAGACATTCTTTACTGTCCAATGTGATTTATTTCTGTACACCTTAGTTATGTAATAGTTAAGTTACTAGAATAATACATATTGCTATAAAATATTACTAGAAGATCAAAAGATCAGGTGACATTTATTGTTATTTTCTATAAATGAACACAATCTCTGGTATGCTAAAGTGACAGGTATTACAAAAACATTCAGATAGGGAGACCTACAGGCTTGATTACAAATGAGGTTTACTATCATAACCCAAGTTTATTGCTTAAAAAAAAAAAAATCTGGGAGCCAACTAGAAACTGAACCACATATAAGCCCTTGAAGGGTAATGTAAATTGGATAAGCTTCCCTATTACAAGAGCAACAAGAAAAAATTCAGACACAAGAATGCATTGCATCTATTCTAAGTTGCTGCTGAAGAAAAAAAAAATGAAAATACTTAATACACATTGTAAAGAGATTTGTTCAAAGAGGATTTCCTAGAGTAGGTGATATTTCAGTCAATTTTTTAAAATGTGAAGAGGTTAGCTAGTTAAGAAAAAGGTGTAGGGGTCCCGGATTGCAGAGGGTGCAGGCTGAAGGACCCCCTACCCCTCACCCTCAACCCCTGTGCACGAATTTCATGCACTGGGCCCCTAGTTTATTATAAAGACAAACCTTTCAATTTTCTGAATTCTGACATTAGCAAGGTGCGTAGATATATAAAATAGTGTTGAAAAAGGATAAAAGACACAGCCCCTCACAAACAATTTCAGGAAATTAAGATTCTCCAAATGACTTAGAGAGCAGGTTAGGGACAAAAACAAAAAGACTGGGGATCTACAGGAAAGCTACTACTAACACAAACTTAATTGAAATAATTTCCTCCAGGACATCTATAACATCATTCAGAACCTTGACGAAGCAATAAAATTGTTAATTTTATTAAATCTCAACCCTAAAGTTCATGTCTTTTTAATATTCTGGGGGACAAAATGGGAAATATTTTGTCAAAGCACTTCTGCATGCCAAAATACACTATGTCAAAGAAAAGCAGGCATGCTATTGTTCAAGCAGCCTCTTTCATGGAACTGTATTTTATTTGAAAGAACAACTAAGAAACAAACTGGTTATTCAGATTTCTAAAAAATAAATGAAATAGCCCTGCTGGGTGACTCAGATAGTTGGAGCATCATCCTGTACACCAAAAGGTTGCCGGTTCGATCCTTGGGGGTGTGTGCCGAAAGCACTAATCAATCTTCTCTCACATCAATGTTTCTCTCTCTCCCTTCTTCCAAAAAAGCAATCAGTGCTTAAAAATCTGATCTTAAAAAAAAAAAAAAAATCAAAATTTTAGAAAACTTTATCTGCCACCACAAGCTTACCAGCTTCCAAATATTTAAAAGCCATTTCTAATTAAATTGTGACATTAATCAATGTGAATTGTTATATTAGGTAATCAAAAGGGAGAAATGCAAAACTGAGTGAAATAGTATTTTCCAAATAACCAAAGCATGTTACAAAATCAGGCATGGTAAAAAAGATTCACTCAGAGTGTGAGAGACCAGTAAATTTTAATGTAACTGAGTATAGAAAGTTTGATGTTTTCAGATTCCACATTACAACTAATCCTGGGTTGAGGTTTGGTGCAGACACATAAAGTATTAAAGAATATCTACAATGATCTAAGAAATCTATTCAAGTACTCTTCTGTTTTTCAACTCTATATCCATGTGAGGTTGGATTCTTCATATACTACAAACCAAAACACATGCAGCAGATATAATGGAGAAGAGAATTCAGATGTCTTCCATTAAGTGACACATTACTGATATTTGCAAAAATGTTAAAACGCCATTCCTCATACTAATTTGTTGCTCTGAAAATAGTTCCTTCACTTTTAAAATGTTAATCGTGTTACAAGTATAAAGTGTTTATTACTATCTAAAATATATATGTATGTCTGTCTGTGTGTATATAAACATATATTTTATATATTTCTTCAATCCTCACCTGAGGATATTTTTCTACTGATTTTTAGAGAGTGAAGAGAGAGGGAAAGACAGAGAGAAACATATCGATTGGTTGTCTCCTCCACATGCCCTGACCAGGGCCTAGACTGAGGAGCCTGCAACCGAGATACATGACCTTGACTGGAATAAAAACCCAGGATCCGCCGGGTCCAGTTTGGCTCAGTGGATAGAGCGTTGGCTTGTGGACTGAAAGGTCCCGGGTTCGATTCCGGTCAAGGGCATGTACCTTGGTTGCGGGCACAACCCCAGTGGGGGGAGGGGGGGTGCAAAAGGCAGCTGGTTGATGTTTCTCTCTCATCGACGTTTCTAACTCTCTGTCCCTCTCAATTCCTCTCTGTGTAAAATCAATAAAATATATTAAAAAAAACAAAACAAAAAAACCCAGGATCCTTTGGTATGAAGGCCAATGGTCTACCACTGAGCCAAACCAACTAGGAATATTTTTATATTTAAATATAAAATATCCAAAAAAAATTCTTGTTATCTAAAAAGTATTTTTAAATTTTTGTTTTAATTTCAAATATAGCAAATATTAATAGTTATAAGCCACATAACCTACTAATTTTTTTTAAACAATCAGTAATTTTTAAGAGTGTAAAAGGACTGTGAAACAAAAGTTTGAGAGCTGCTGGCTTAGAAGTTCTGTAGAAGACCGTCTAGCTCTATACAACTTACTGATTTTGCGATATCGGACAGTTATATAGCCACACTTTGCCTCAGTTTCCTCCTCTGTAGAATGGAGATAATACTAACCTCAAAGGATTATCATGAACATTAAATGAAATAATACATTTAAAGCATTTGGAACACTCCCTGACACAGTAAATATTCAAACTTGAATTATTATATGTAAAGCAGTTTTTAATCAAATTAAAATACTCAAGTTTCAGCCCTGGCCAGGTAGCTCAGTTGGTTATGAGCATTGTTCCAATACACCAAAGTTTTGTGTTCAATCTCCAGTCACGGCACATACAAAAAGTAACCAATGAGTTCGGCCAGTATTGCTCAGTGGTTGAATGCCTACCCATGCACCAAGACCTTTCCAGTTCAATTCCCAGTCAGGGCACATGCCCCGGTTGTGGGCTCAATCTCTCATGAGGGCCATGTAGGAGGCAGCCAATGGATGTTTTTCTCTCTCTCTATCCCTCTCTCCTTCCCTCTCTCTCTGAAAATCAATAAAACCTTAAAAAAAAAAAAAAAAAAAAGGAAAAGAAGCAACCAATGAATAAACAAGTGGTACAGGAAATCAATGTTTTTTTTAAATTTTTTAAAAATATATTTTATTGATTTTTCACAGAGAGGAAGGGAGAGGGATAGAGAACTAGAAACATCGATGAGAGAGATACATCGACCAGCTGCCTCCTGCACACCCCCTACTGAGGATGTGCCCGCAACCAATGTACATGCCCCCACAACCAATGTAAATGCCCCCGACCGGAATCGAACCCGTGACCTTTCAGTCCGCAGACCGAAGCTCTATCCACTGAGCCAAACCGGTTTTGGCAGGAAATCAATATTTTTTTCTCCCTTCCTCTCTAAAAAAATCAACTAAAAAAATTCTGTGACCCTAGCCAGTTTGGCCCAGTGGATAGTGTCGGCCTGTGGACCCCAGTTTCACTTCCAGTCAAGGGGGCACGTACCTCAGTTGCAGACTACTCCCCAACCAGGGCCCTGGTTGGGGCGGGTACAGGAGGCAACTGATAGATGTGTCTGGAATCAATGTTTCACTTTCTCTCTCTCCCCTCCCACTCTAAGAATCAATGGAAAAATATCCTCAGGAGAGGATTAAAAAACAATAATTCTGATTACTGCACAGAGCTCAGAGAGCTACAGACAAAAAAAAAAAAAAAAAGCTTAAGTACTCAGCTTCACATTTAGGAATTTCCGATTTTATCAAATCAAACTATTTGAGTCGCCTTGACACAATCAGCTATTTGAGTTTTAGGACATTTTCCTGGATTTTTACTTATCATATACTTTTTTTTTTTCAAATTCCAATTTACTAAAGCTTTATTATTTTGGGACTCCAGCGAAAGCACTGGCTGTTGGAAGACTAGTAACTCCAAATTCTGAAAAGTTACAGGAAGAGTAGAAAAATAAACACCTCAAGTTATTTTCTCCAAGCAGTAGCCCTTCAACATCAGCAACATGAAAACCATGAACTTACACCTAAAAAAACGAAAGTCTAACTTATTACACATAAGGTTTTGTGAAACTATAAAGAAAGTCAACTTACAGAGTCATGGGTGAGGTATGTATCGCAGTAGTCACAATAGAACCTGGAAAGAGATGGAAGGTGGAGGAAAAGAGATGACAACCAGTTAATAGATGCCCACTCCCGAAGTGCTGGTCACTGAAGGCAAAAAAAAAAAAAATTTAAAAATCTAGTAACGATTCGTACAAGGCAGAGTCCTTACATAAGCCAGGCTTTTTTGTTGCCCAACGCGGAGAGATCCAGATCCCTCCCGGCCTCCTCCCCTCCCCAGACCCTCTCGCTTCCCTGGAAGCTTCAGGAGCCAGAACCCGCTCTGTGCGCCCTCACGGGCCACAACTGGTGGCTGTGACCGCGAACACCCCCAGATTCAGGCCCCCACTCACTTCGGCATGTTGCTCTGCAGGCCGTTGGCACTCGGTTGGCCACTCCGCGACCGCGCCGCCGGAAATGACGCACACAGCCAGCGCCGGCGTCGCGGAATCGCGAGGTCTCCAACGCGACTTCGGAAATCCTCCCCGTCATCCAATCAGCGTGCCCCGCGCCACGGCGACGGCTTCACCGCGTCTGGAGCCGAGTGGGGGCGGGGCTCTCCCGTCCCCTCACCTACAGGAAGACTGGCGCCCTAAGGGTCCCTACGAGGTTCAATCCACGGGCATTTATTTTATCTCAATTCCTGATCCTATAATCTGGAAGCGTGCTATTCATTCTCTGGACCAATATCTAACAGTTACCACTGTGCCAGGCTAACTACTATTAAGTACTGAGGAGAGAGCAGTACAAAACAAGTAAGATCCCCGTCCCCCTGGAGTTGACAATTGCGTTGGGGAAGACGGAATAATAAAGTCAGTATGTCGTAGGTTAGATGGAACCAAGTTCTACGTGGGGTGAAAAATGAATCGGGAAAGCGGAAGTTCGGTTTTAAAAAACAGAAAGCTTGTTATGAATGTGACAACTAAGAAATAACAGGTTGCTTAAAGCAATAAAGCCAGGTGCAATTTTCCATAGCATGTCATATATGTGTGTGTGTATGTGTATGTGTGTATATGTATATGTATATGCATATTTATATGTATATGTATATGTATAATATTTATGGATTTCAGAGAGGAAGGGAGAGAGAGATAGAAAGATAAATGATGAGGGAGAATCATTGATTGGCTGCCTCCCGCACACCCCCTACTGGGGATTGTGCCCACAACCCAGACATGTGCCCTAGACCAGAATCAAACCCCAGAACCCTTCAGTCCACAGGCCAATGCTTTAATCACTAAGCAAACCAGTTAAGGCCATAGCATCTTTGTGTGTGTGTGTGTGTGTGTGTGTGTGTGTGTGTGTGTGTGTGTGTTTTAGCCTCATTAACCCCAGGAGATTGTAGAATAATAAGTTTCAAGTCCCGTTTCGGCTTCCTAGCTGTGCTGCTTGTGCCATTTCCTCCTCTGAAAAATAGTGTGGCTCAGTGGTTGATAACATGGATAATCGTTCATACTTGTGGGGTCTAAGGAAGAATTAAATGTGAAAATGCTTGTAAAGTATTTAGTGCAATGTCTGCACATACAAAAGCTCCTCCTCCCCAAATAGTATCTTTATATAAGAGGAAATTGATAGAAGTTACTTGTCCACAAATATTACCTGTTCTAACAAGGCAAAACTTCCAGCCTAGTCTATCAGACTCTATAATAAAACTGAGGAGGAGGAGCTTTTGATTATTCTGCTTCACATTTTCTGATGGTGGAATAGTAATAATTGCTACTTTGAATGTTTACTATGACCCAGGGGCATTAAATGCATTAATAATTTAATCTACTCAGCAATCCTGTTATTCACATTTCAGGTGAGTAAATTGAGCTTTAACAAGTTTAAGCTTCCACACCCTGAAAGAAAAGTTAACTGTACAATGAAGTTATCAAGCTTCCACCACCCTAAATCAGTCCTAAATCTTAGCATTAGTAATACTAAGAACAATTAATCAGATTCTGTGTGTCTCCTGAGCTTGTCAACATTAAGTAGACACCATTAACTATGATATATTCTTTTTTTTAATTTTTTAATAGATTTCAGAGAGAGGAAGGGAGAGGGAGAGAGAGAGAAAAAAACATCAATGATGATAGAGAATCATTGATTGGCTGTCTCTTGCACTAGGGGTTGAGTCCGCAACCCGGGTATGTGCGCTGACCAGGAATCAAATCATTAACTCCTGGTTCATAGGATGACGTTCAACCACTGACCCATGCCAGCTGGGCACTATGCTGTATTCTTACCAATCAATAAAAAATATTTAAAATAATAGATGTGGGGAAGCACGGGACTTGGTTGGAATGTGTGCAAGGAGGATTCTCCGAAAGGTTGGGGGCCTCTGAGGGAACCTTGCAAAGGTGGCAGCCCCTACCTTAACTTTTCCAAACAAGTCTGATCCTCCGGATGTTTGCTAGAATCTCTATGGTTAGTCTTTAAAGACCCGACCTTGTAGAAGCATGTGCTTTCTCAAGAAAAATTTTCCTGCTGTTCATTTTAGTTCAAGCTATTGTTACAATAAAAAGCTAACGAGGCAGGCAATCAGGGCTATTTGTTTCTAAAGCAAATTAGCCCCTTAGCTTCTCTCTCACAGAAACAAATGAGTAATCTGTTCATCCATCACTCAGGTCTGCTGGTCAGCCCGGCAAATAGAAACAAAGAATTATAGCATTCTATGATAAGAACTATGATAAGACAACTTCATCAAGGAATAATATCATATAGTGTCAATGAGCACAGCTTTATTTATTTATTTTTATTTATTTTTTTATTTTTATTTTTTTATTTTTATTTATTTATTTTTTTAAATCAATCTTTATTGTTCATATTGTTACAAAGGTTCCTCATTTCTTCCCCCTCCACCAGGTTTCCACCCACCCTCTGCCCCCTCCCCATCCCCCATTGTCCTCATCCATAGGTGCAGTTTATGTTCAGTCTCTTCTTCCCTCAATTTCCCCAATAGTAAATCCCTTTTCAGATAGTAAATCAGTTACTTAGCATTTTCTCATATCAATAATACCTCCACATGCCCAATGATACACTTCACACAAAAGACATTTCCCAATAGGTCCACCAGCCTCATCCAGGCCCCACCCAAGGCACTCACAGATCAACACCCCAGCCCTAAACTAACTCAACACATCCAGATCTAAGCCTTCATCACTTGATTCAGCAGACCCTCAAGTTCCCACAAAAGTTTCCAGCCATGTCTGAGAAGCAGCCGTGGGGCAGGGGCAGGCGAGGAGCGAGCTGTTCTGGGCCTGGCTGTTCAGGGCCTGGCCTCTGTTGCTCTGGTTCGTTCCACAACCAGCTGCTCCGGGTCTGGTCACTGCCGCTCCCGACCTAGTTGCTCTGGACTTGGCTGCTGCTGCTCCGGGCCTGGCCGCTCCCAGCCTGGCAGCCGCTGCTCCGGGCCTGGCCGCACCCGACCCGCCTGCTCCCCCGGGCCTGGCCGCTCCCAGCCTGGCAGCCGCTAATGAGCACAGCTTTAGATCTAAAATGCATTGTGTTTGAATTCCAGTACTAGGAGCTATTGCTTTGACTTTGGAGATGTTGCTTAATGTCTTTGTGTTTTAGCTTTCTCATCTGTAAAGTGGGGACAATAATTGTACCTACTTCATAGGTTCATGGCTATGAGGACTGAATAATACATTTTCCATACCTGGGAAGGCACTTCGCACAGTAAGCATACTTAAATTGGTGGATAGTATTGGCATTGTCAATAATAAGAATTGATACTTAAAATAGAGGTCCCTTAAATTCCATGCCCATGAATCCTTCTAGGCCTCTTCATGGCCACATAAAATATGAGCTATGGAAGTCAGAGCCATTTTTCCTCACCATTTGAATAAGAGATTTGAAACTCACTTTGCAGACATCATTGGCTGCTGACACTTCTACCTTTTAGACATTCTTCAGAATCTACAATTCTTTTTTAAAAAATATATTTTATTAATTTTTTACAGAGAGGAAGAGAGAGGGATAGAGAGCTAGAAATATAGATGAGAGAGAATCATCAATCAGCTGCTTTTTGCACACCTCCTGCTGGGGATGTGCCCGCAACCAGGGTACATGCCCTTGACCAGAATCGAACCTGGGACCTTTCAGTTTGCAGGCTGACGCTCTATCCACTGAGCCAAACCGGTTTAGGCAGAATCTACAATTCTTAATTCTAATTCCAGACCATAGGGCCCTGAAATGTTGGGGAGAGGCTGAATCCCAGAGGGGAACTTGCTTCTGCACTTTCAGCTGTCCATCCAGCTCAGAGGGGGCTCATCTGTGGATAGATGGCTCTCTGGGGAGGGTCAGATCATTGTGGCTTCCCTTCTCCCCCAACTTATCCTTTTGAACTGAGACCTCGCTGCCATGAAGTGGACTGAGAAGGCTGAAACTTGATCTTTGTATCTGGAAACAACAGCAGGGCACAGGGCCAGTTGTAGAAGCTGTCACCAGACCTCCAGGTAGGTGTGAACTAGCTGTGGCTGAGAATTCATGACAGTGGCTGGTGAGAGGAATGGGAATCCTGCTGGGACTTCACCCCATTGTCATCGCACTCTACCCTGCAATTGAGAGTTGACTTAGCTGCTGCTTTCCAAGGCCAGTGCCTGGAGACAAGACTTTTGCCACCTAGACTAAGCAAGTGAGAACAACACTGGGACAACAGTGAGGATGCCCATCTGGCACCTATAGGATGGCGGCAAAGCCCATTCATTTCGCCTGGTGGAGTAGCAGGGCGAATAATTATTCTTCAGTTCTGCTGTTATTGTCTTGCCTCCCTCACAGTACACAGAGAGTTCACTGATGGGGACAGAAAAAGCCAAAGCCCCAGGGCCAGGGGAGCAAGTTCTTTTTTACCTTTTTAGGATTGTTTTGGATTTTCAAAATTTAAAGTATAGTTGACATACAATATTATAGTAGTTTCAGGTGTACAACATAGTGATTCTACATTTATATAATGTGACCACCACAATATGTCTAGTAAGTGTCACTGAACAAAATTATTACAAGCCGAAACCGGTGTGGCTCAGTGGATAGAGCGTTGGCCTACGGACTGAAAGGTCCTGGGTTCGATTCCAGTCAAGGGCATGTACGTTGGTTGTGGGCACATCCCCAGTAGGGATGTGCAAGAGGCAGCTGATCGATGATTCTCTCTCATCAATATTACTAACTCTCTATCCCTCTCTCTTCCTCTGTCTGTAAAAAAATCAATAAAATATACTTTAAAAAAAACAACAAAGTTATTACAATATTGACTAGCCCTAGCTGGTTTAGCTCAATGGATAGAGCCAAATATTGGGATGACACTATAACCAACTGAGCTCCTCAGAGGGCCCTTGGGTTTTCTTTACTGGTGAAACTGAGACCCAAAGAAGTGATATT